GGGGAGGATTCACCATGATTTGTAGGAGTTGTAGGTTCACCTGCATTCAGTGAGCACTCTGGACTCCACCAATGATGGATCTGAAACTAACTTGGCACACAGAGCCCCCATGACCTACAAAAAATACTGGAAGTCTCTGGGAGAAATTCACTTTGATTTGGGGGAGTTGTATTTCACCTACATCCAGAGAGCACTGTGAACCCAAACACCGATGAATCTGGACCAGACTTGGCACACAGACCTGATATACTGAAATTGGATTATTGTAGGGGTTTGGGGGGAACTGACCTTCCTTTCTGGGTGTTGTAGTTCACCCACAACCAGAGAAACTGTGATTTATTTATCATGTCATCAGCAACCAGACCATTGTGTTACATTTCTAACAGAACAAAACAAACAAACAGATTAAAAAAACAAATTTTGCGAACTTGGTAGTTGATTAAATGTCCTTTGACCAGTATCTGGCCACTTGGAGTGCTTCTGGTGTTGCCGCAAGAAGGTCCTCCATTGTGCATGTGGTGGGGCTCAGGTTGCATTGCAGCAGGTGGTCAGTGGTTTGCTCTTCTCCACACTCGCATGTCGTGGATTCCACTTTGTAGCCCCATTTCTTGAGATTGGCTCTGCATCTCGTGGTGCCAGAGCGCAGTCTGTTCAGCGCCTTCCAAGTCACCCAGTCTTCTGTGTGCCATGGGGGGAGTCTCTCATCTGGTATCACCCACGGATTGAGGTGCTGGGTTTGAGCCTGCCACTTTTGAACTCTCGCTTGCTGAGGTGTTCCAGCGAGTGTCTCTGTAGATCTAAGAAAACTATTTCTTGATTTAAGTCGTTGACGTGCTGGCTGATACCCAAACAAGGGATGAGCTGGAGATGTCACTGCCTTGGTCCTTTCACTGTGATCTCCACCGATGATGGAACTGGACCAAAATTTAGCACACAGAACCCCCATGACTAACTCAACCTACTGGCGGGGTTTGAGAAAACTGACTCATTATAGTGGGAATGGTAGTTTACCCTGCAGCCAGAGAGCACACCGAACCCCACCGAAGATGCATCTAGAGCAAGCCTGCCCAACATAACAAACTTTAAATAATGATGAAGTTTCTTGAGGTTAACCTGGCATTATGTCAGTTGTAGTTAATCCACAACCTTATGCATTTTGTACATTATTTTTCAAATAACCCGCGCAACACTGGGTACCCAACCTGGTCATAATTAAAAATAGAATTGGAAGATAGTGCATGGGCCATCTAGTCCAACCCCCTTTGGCCTTCATGCTAGAAAAACAATCAAAGCGCCCCCTCCTTGATTTCTCTTTGAACTATCCTCTCCATTTGAGTGTCATTTATTAGTTCAAGTTTTCTTGATGAATAGATTTGCATCCTCATACTAGTGCTTAGTCTTAACGGTTTCTGTTATTTGAGTGCTTTCCCCCCTACAGGAAAGCTTGGCCCCACGACCTTCACTAAAATGAGCTCTCCTCCGCAAATAATCTGTCCTTGCTTAATCTCGTGTTTATCTCGCCTGAGTGTTTAATTTGTTTTTACCCAGTTTTCCTTGACCATGACATTTAGCTCGCCCATGTTATTGTGATCGTGTTTGTTGTAATTTTATATTGCTGTGTTGTCTTTTGTTTTATGAAATTGCTTTATTATTGTTTATTATTTGCGTTTTCGGTTTTGTTTTATTTTATGTAATTGTTGCTTTGGGCTTGGCCCTCATGTAAGACGCACCGAGTCCCCATAGGGGAGATGGAGCGGGGTACAAATAAAGATGATGATAATGATGATGATGATGATGATGATGATGATGATGATGATTATTATTATTATTATTATTAGTACCGAGTCCAGAACCATCTTCATTTTATACCAAGTAGAGGCAAAGCATTGAGGCTGTTATTAGGTGTTTGGTTGGAGCCCAGAAATCCATATCTTCTGACACTTTATAGCAGGAACGGTCCATATTAATCCTTTCATGTCCCATTATCTCGGCTGCCTTTAAAATGTTCCAGTCAACATACAAGGGGTGTTCATTAAAGATTTCCCCGGCCCACTTCCTGTGAACTGAGTGCAGTGAAACTTGTTCTGAGTCCTTCTCTCCATCGGTGCCACCAAGAGACACACACTTGTCCCACTTTTTAAAGTAACTGTAAACACCTCACCTTGTACAAGTTGACAGGTTGCTCCAAAGCCACATTGTGACTTCGGAAATCAGAGTCTTCTCACCTGAGCAATGCTTGCCCTTCCAAAATAATGTCCTTTTTCGGAAAGAGGTGTAAGTCTGATAGTGCAAGGTCTGGTGAAGAAGTGGGGATGCGGTGGAATTCCAAAGCCACAGGAGCATGCTTCTTTCATTTGGGCAACAGGTGAGTTGTGAACTGGTGTACTGTCTTGCAGAAAGCGAACGGACACCTTTGGTGAGCCTGCCACATTGCCTCTTGGTTTTGATGACCTCCCGCAATGTCCGCAGCAGTCTCTCATTTGGGTATCAGCCATTGATTGAGGTTCTGGATTTGAGCCTGCCACTTTTGGACTCTTGCTTGCTGGGGTGTTCCAGCTAGTGTCTCTGTAGATCTTAGAAAACTATTTCTTGATTTAAGTCTTTGAGGTAGGTGTTAATATTTCAATTGGCCACCTTGATTAGCATTTAATGGCCTGGTGTGGCTTCTTACTGCCTGGGGGAATCCTTTGTTGAGAGGTGATTAGCTGTCCCTGATTGTTTCTTGCCTGGAGTTCCCCTGTGTTTGCGTGTTGTTTTTTATTTACTGTTATAATTTTAGAGATTTTTAATGCTAGTAGCCAGATTTTGTTCATTTTCATGGTTATGCGGCAATTTTCCAAAATGGCGACCTCCACTTGCTGGATGGTGTGTTCCTCAATAGCCGAGTGGGGTTACCCTGGAATTGGAACTGTTTGTACTGAAGTCTGGCCACACTGGAAGTGGTGATGCCAGTCCTTGAGTCCATCATCTAATGGGGAATCCTCACCATCAATCTCTTCCAGCTCACCAAACGTCTTCTTTGGTGTGCGGCCTTGCAAGGAAAGAAATTTGACTGCTCTGGATTCCATTCTCAAACCTCACACCACTTCAACACCTGTACAATGAAGACCATTATCAGTTCTGAGTTGTAAATTGGCACGTAACCTATAAAGACTTGTGTCATTACACGTGTGTAGTTTCAGCGTCTTGTGATAAATAAAAATGGGTCAGGGGAAATCTTTCATGAACGCTCCTCATATGTCGGTGGGTTTGTACCACAAAGAGTCCTCCATGGCTTGATAGATCTGGACTAAACTTGGCCCGCTTACCTTTCATCGTCCACATAAAAGTTTTAATTTTTAAAAACCACTCCTTTTAGGCTAAGAGAAGAGAGAAAGAAAAGGAACAGTGTGACTTGGTCCTTGCTGGGTGAAGTGGCCCTCCGTTGTATGAATGAGAAATAAAAGGAATGGAGTTGTTTGGCTGCTGCTAGGTGACATGTGTATGAGAGGGAGGGAGGAGAGAAAGGGGGAAAGAAACAGGGAAAGTTATGGAGGGGAGGAAGAAAAAGGAGAGAATAGAAAGGAAAGAAGAGAAAGGAAGGGAAGAAAAGAAAGAGAAAGAAGGGAAGAGAAAGAAAAGACGAAGGTAAGGAGAGTGGGAAACATATAAGAGGAAGCAAGGGCCGGATTTTAGCACAGAAGGTTAATTACCAGCTGCAGTAAATCTTGCCAAACAAAACAAAGGTTCGAAGCCTGGGTCAGGGTGAGCTCCTGACCTTCAGTCCAGCTCCCTGCCCACCTAGTAGATCGAAAACAGCAATTTGAGTAGATAAATAGGTAAATAACAGGGAGTAGAGAAATACTGGGTTGTTGTAGGTTTTTTCGGGCTATATGGCCATTTTTTTTTTGTCGTGTCAGGAGCGACTTGGGAAACTGCAAGTCGTTTCTGGTGTGAGAGAATTGACCGTCTGCAAGGAAGTTGCCCAGGGGACGCCCGGATGATTTGATGTTTTTATCATCCTTGTGGGAGGCTTCTCTCATGTCCCCGCATGAGGAGCTGGAGCTGATAGAGGGAGCTCATCCGCCTCTCCCCGGATTCGAACCTGCGACCTGTTCAGTCCTGCCGGCACAGGGGTTTAACCCACTGCGTCACCGCCTGCATCTATAGGTAAATGACCTTGGAGGGCCTACCTCTGAGGATGCTTGGCATAGATGCAGGTAAAACATCAGGAGAGAATGCCTCTAGAACATGGCCATATAGCCCGAAAAAACCTACAACAACCCAGTGATTCCGGCCATGAAATCCTTTGACAATACATTAGAGAAATACCTCCCCATTAAAAGTGGGGAGGTATTTAGGCACGGCAATTCTATCAAAAAAGGAAATTTACGAACAAAAAAGCTCTTCGACAGGGAAGATAGAGCGACAGCACCCCCCTGTGCCAGATCCAAGCACAGCCTCCAAGATGGCGAAAGATGGGAAAACCTATATATACCTCTATGTTGTCTGTCTTGTCATTGTCTAATCAACATTGAATGTTTGCCGTATATGTGTTCAGTGATCTGCTTTGAGTCCCCTTCAGGGTGAAAAGGAGGGAATATAAATCCTGGAAATAAATATAAATACTGTAAGCAAGGGAGGAAGGAAAGTAGGGAAGAGGTAGAAGGTGTATACGGGGGATGGAAGAAGGAAGGAAAGAAAGCCACAAAGAGAGCCTGCCTACCATTGCCAGTCAGCTTGGAGACATTGTGTGGGAGACCTTTTCATAGCTGGAGAAGGGAGAAAGCAGGCAGTATATTCAGGTAGGCCTAAAAGGCGGTTCAATAAAATGGAAAGTAGGATAATGGTGGAAGTTGACAAAAAGGAAAAGGCATTCTTTGGTGCATTTTGGATCTAAACAATGCTTCCTTGATATGACAACAACAACAACAAGGAAAGCAGCCCACCGGAGACAACTTAGGAACCGAGAGCCCTCCTTTCCTTGCTTTATATGATCCCTCTTCCTTCCTTCTTTGCAGGAATGCTTGAATATGATCCATCCAAGAGGTTTTCAATACAACAGATAAGGCACCACAAGTGAGTATTAATTCATTCCTCCCTTTTATTCTCCTTATAGGTTCAGATGCATATTATGCAAATGTCTGAATAGCAGAAATTCTGGGAAGACTTATTACTGTATGAGACACAAAGCTCCCTTGTTGTGTCTTTAAAAGCCAGTCTGACCAGCCTGAGCCGAGAGGCCTTCCTTCCCAGAGGAGCCATCTGGGCCCTCGTCACATTTATATTTATTAACCACATTTCTCCCAGTGCGGGACTCAAGGTGACTTTGCACCTCTTTCTAGAAAGGTTTTTAAATAGCCAAGCCATTCTGCTCAGAAAACACAAAGCTTGAAACGCAATCTGTATGCATATAAAAGTTGAAATAGGTCTGCCTGTACCACAAAGGCTGTTGCTCGGTGAAGTGGCCCTCTGCAATGCCACTGGGAAAGAAAGGTGACATGGAGGGAAAGGGAGGAAGGAAGGAACGAGCCTGGAGACATTGTGAGGTAGGCCTTCTCAGAGCTGGAGAAGGGAGAGGGGAAGGAAGGAAGGAAGGAAGGAAGGAAGGAAGGAAGGAAGGAAGGAAGGAAGGAAGGAAGGAAGGAAGGAAGGAAGGAAGGAAGGAAGGAAGGGAAGAAGCAGAGAAAGAAAGGAATGGAGAAGGGAGGGAATGAGGAAAGAGTAGCAAAGAAAGACATAATAATAATAATAATAATAATAATAATAATAATAATAATAATAACAACAACAACAACAACTTTATTTATGTATTGTCGAAGGCTTTCATTTATACCCCTAACAGAACCAATCTTGTTCGTAACTTGGGCTTACTTTGTTTCCATAAGAAAAAAAGCCATCCACTCTGAATTTTACCTGTCCGAACGTATTCTCCCCTATCATAGAATCATAGAATCAAAGAGTTGGAAGAGATCTCATGGGCCATCCAGTCCAACCCCCTGCCAAGAAGCAGGAATATTGCATTCAAATCACCCCTGACAGATGGCCATCCAGCCTCTGTTTAAAAGCTTCCAAAGAAGGATCCTCCACCACACTCTGAGGCAGAGAGTTCCACTGCTGAACAGCTCTCACAGTCAGGAAGTTCTTCCTCATGTTCAGATGGAATCTCCTTTCTTGTAGTTTGAAGCCATTGTCGCGTCCTAGTCTCCAGGGAAGCAGAAAACAAGCTTGCTCCCTCCTCCCTGTGTCTTCCTCTCACATATTTATACATGGCTATCATATCTCCTCTCAGCCTTCTCTTCTTCAGGCTAAACACGCCCGGCTCCTTAAGCCGCTCCTCATAGGGCTTGTTCTCCTGACCCTTGATCATTTTAGAATAAGAAAGGAAGGACAAGGGTGAAAGGGAAGGAAGGATAGAAGGAGAAAGAGGGAGGTAAGGAAGAGAGGGGATGATGAAAAGAGGAAGGAAAGAGAAAAGGAAGGAAGGATAGGATGGTGAGAGAGAGGAGGACTCTGAAGGGGCCACATCCAGTTCCCAGGAGGAAAGGAGGAAGGAAAAAAGAGAAGGAAGAAAGGGGGAAGAGAAGGATGGAGGAAGGAAGGGTGGAAGGGAAGGAAGGGAGGAAGGAGAAAGAGAAGGGAAGGCAAAAGACACTTAAAAACAATACAATAATTAAAATGAAGAACAATTTTAACAAATACAAATTTATTAGTATTTCAATGGGAAGTGTGGGCCTGCTTTTGGCTGATGAGATAGGATTATTGTTGTTGTGTGCTTTCAAGTCGTTTCAGACTTAGGTTGACCCTGACCAAGGGCCGGGTAAATGACCTTGGAGGGCCGCATCCGGCCCCCATGCCTTAGTTTGAGGACCCTCAGACCTTTTTTTATGCTTGTCTCTTATCGTCTCCAGGCTGTTCCTCACATAAAAGCTTGATTTCCAGGTCTTTTGACCGTCCATCTTGGGTTATTGTGGGAACACAAATCAGAAGCCTGAAACCTTTTTTTGACGGCCTCTCTCTTTACGTTTTTATCTTCTCAAGCTGGTTCCGGAAAAAACACACGCAGTCGGAGGCCCTGGTGCCCATCCCTCCCAGCCCAGAGACAAAGGACCGGTGGCGAAGCATGACAGTGGTGCCTTACCTGGAAGACCTGCATGGCTATAATGAGGAGGAGGAGGATGACGACCTGAAGGAGGACTATTTGGAGGACGAGATCATCTACACTCAGGACTTCACTGTACCAGGTAAGGAGACTGGGAGCTTGGGGAGGGGGGCACACAACAGGATAGGTTTGTTGGTTCTTCCCAAGGTATCCGCAGAAGGAACAGATGCTAAAGATACCCTAGTGATACAAAAACTTAAATTTTTACTTGTTTGCTGTCCGATCAGCAGTGATTTACGGTAGCCCTATGATGATGAGGCCACCAAGGGCCCTGACTTTCAAACCCAGGCCCATGGCTTTCAGGATTGAATCTCAATATTGACTTTTTGATAGATTTTTAGTTAAGAACATGGATTTATTAAATCCTGCCACAAATCTGCACCTATCGATCATTTCCATCAAGCTTTGAATACTCCTTATTGGGTCTTGTATGATACACATCATGTCATCAGCATATGCCTTGACTTTAATAATAATTTTATTTCTTACCCGCCTCTCCTTATGGCTTGAGTTGGGTTACAACATTGCTAAAACAGATAATCAAAACATAATTATGTAAGAAAAAAATCCAATTTCATTTATTTATTCATTTATTTATTGTCGTGTCATGAGCAACTTGAGAAACTGCAAGTTGCTTCTGGTGTCTGTTTTGTCAAAGGGTTTATATATCTGTGGAAAGTCCAGGGTGGGAGAAAGAACTTTGAGAATGGAGAAGTGGAAGAAAATGCTCAAAGTTGGTTGGCTGTGGCTAGGTGAAGTAGCCCTCTGTCATGTGACTAGGAGAGAGCAGGAGCTAAGCAGATTGAATGTTTCTGGCATATGTATGAGAGGAAAGAAGGAAGGAGAAAAGGAAGGGAAAGAAAGAAGGGAAAAGGAGGAGAGAAAGATATGGGGGAAAGGAGGGAGGAAGGAAAGATAAAAGGAAGGGAAAGAAAAGAAAAGAAGGGAAAATAAAGGGAAAGGGGTATGAGGGAAAGGGAGGGATGGAAAGAAGGAGAGAGAAAAGGAAGGGAAAGAAAGAAGGGAAAAGGAGGAGAGAAAGATATGGGGGAAAGGAGGGAGGAAGGAAAGATAAAAGGAAGGGAAAGAAAAGAAAAGAAGGGAAAATAAAGGGAAAGGGGTATGAGGGAAAGGGAGGGATGGAAAGAAGGAGAGAGAAAAGGAAGGGAAAGAAAGAAGGGAAAAGGAGGAGAGAAAGATATGGGGGAAAGGAGGGAGGAAGGAAAGATAAAAGGAAGGGAAAGAAAAGAAAAGAAGGGAAAATAAAGGGAAAGGGGTATGAGGGAAAGGGAGGGATGGAAAGAAGGAGAGAGAAAAGAAGGGAAAGAAAGAAGGGAAAAGGAGGAGAGAAAGGTATGAGGGAAGGGAGGGAGGGAGGGAAGGAAAGATAAAAGGAAGGGAAAGAAAAGAAGGGAAAATAAGGGGAAAAGGGTATGAGGGGAAGGGAGGGAAGGAAGGAAAGAGAAAAGAAAAGGAAAGAAAGAAGGGAAAAGGAGGAGAGAAAGGTATGGGGGAAAGGAGGGAGGGAAGGAAGGATAAAAGGAAGGGAAAGAAAAGAAGGGAAAATAAGGGGGAAAGAGTATGAGGGGAAGTGAGGGAGGGAGAGAAGGAAGGAGAGAGAAAAGGAAGGGAAAGAAAGGAAGGAAAAAGAAGGGGAGAAAGGTACGAGGGGAAGGGAGGGAGGGAAGGAAGGAAAGAGAAAAGGAAGGGAAAGGAAGGAGAAATAAGGGGAGAAAGGAGAGGGGAAGGGAGGAGGAGGAAGAAGGAGAAAAGGAAAGGAAAGAGAGGGAAGGGAAAGAAGGGGAAGAAGGAGGGAAAAAAGGAGGGGGAAGGAAGGAAAGAGAAAGAAGGGGAAGGGAGGGAGGAAGGAAGGAAGGAGAAAAGGAAGGGAAAGGAAGGGGAGAAAGGATGAGGGAGGAAGGAGGAGGAAAGAGAAAAGGAAGGGAAAGGAAGGGGGGAAAAGGGGAGAAAGGTATGAGGGGAAGGGAGGGAAGGAAGGAAAGAAGGAAGGAAGGAGAAAAGGAAGTGAAAAGAAGGGGAGAAAGGTAAGAGGGGAAGGGAAGGAAGGAAAGAAAGGAAGGGAAAAGAAGGGGCGAAAGGTATGAGGGGAATGGAGGGAGGGAAGGAGTAACGAAGGAAGGGGAGGGAATCAAGTGTTGGGTAAAGGGAAGAAAGGAAAAGAAGGAAGGGTACGAAATCGTGTGTTAGTGTTTGACTCCAAAAGCGAAAATAGCAGATGGCTCAGGTCTTCAGTGTCAAGGGCTTCGTTTGTGTCACAGGAGTGTGCAGGCGGGGAGGGAGGAGAAATGCAGGTGGCCCCTGCCTGCCTGCCAGTGCTTCGCAACATGTGCGATCTTGAACTTGTATGCGAAAGAGAGAGATCTTGGCGCTCACGTGTTGTGTTGTATTGTGTTGTGTTCACGGGGGTTATTTTAAAGGTTGCCATGGCCTCGCCCTGGATCCGCTTCCATGCAAGTACCGCACTTGGCAGGGAGTCGAAAACTACGCCTTCGCACAATGCCAAGAAAACTGAAATGAGTACAACTGTTGAAAAAGTTAATTGGGTGTAACAGCCCAAAGCTGCCTGTTTGGGCTCTTCCTATGAATATTGTCCTTGCTGATCGCAGAGAAGCTTTAAACGCACAGCCAAGGTATTGATGATGCCCACCCATCCGTCAGCACCTTTTGTATTGATTCCCCTCAAGATTGGATCAGAGTATGGCAGCTTCAGTTCAGTCCTCTTGTGTTTCTAGGGAGTTATTTATTTATTTATCGTGGCAGAAGCAAATTGAGAAAACAGTTATAATGTATAAAAAACTGCAAAGTTACAAACTTGGCCTATCCTAAAGGTCCTTTGACCAGAACCTGGCCACTTGAAGTGCCTCTGGTGTCTCTGCAAGAAGGTCCTCCATTGTGTATGTGTGCCCAGAAGAGCGATTCTCATTCAGTCTCAGCCACAGATTGAGGTTCTGGGTTTGAACCTGCCACTTTTGGACTCTTGCTTGCTGAGGTGTTCCTGCGAGTATTTCTGTAGATCTTAGGAACTGTTTCTTGATTTAAGACATTGACATGCTAGCTGATATCCAAACAGAGGATGGGCCAGAGATTTCACTGCCTTGGTCCTTTCATTACAGGCTACTACTTCCCTGTGGATGTCAGGTGGTGCAATATCGGCTAAACAGTATACCGTATATACTCGAATATAAGCCAACCTGAATATAAGCCGAGGCACCTAATTTTACCACAAAAAACTGGGAAATCTTATTGACTCGAGTATAAGCCGAGGGTAAAAAATGCAGCCGCTACTGGTCAGTTTGACAGATGACCACCCAGTTTTCTGACATTCCTCCGCCCCTCGCAGAGCACAAGCTTTCTTCGGCAGCGGCAGAGGAGAAGGAAGCCCCTCCGGCAGGCTTTTCAGCAGGCTTGCTCTCCTTCTTCCTGGTCCCATGCGCGGCCTTCCTCGGAAGACGCAGTGGCGGTAAAGGCGCGCACAGGGCAAGGGAGAGGAGAAAGGCGCGCACCTTTCCCTTCTCCCTCGCGCGTCTTCCCTGCCTCCGCCGCTGAAAGTGTGCACACAGCAAGAGAGGAAGGGGAGTGGCACGCACTTGCCCTGCCCCCCTCGCCCCATATGCGGCTTTCCTGTGTCCGCCCGCCGCTACCCCCGCCACCGTGGGACAAGGAAGAAGGTGCGTGCACGGCAAGAGAGGAAGGGGAACAGTGAGCACTTTCCCCTCCCACCTCGCCCATGCACGGCTTTTCTGCTTCCTCCCGCCGCTGCCCCCGCCACCGCGGCCGTGCATGGCACCAGGAAGAAGGAGAGCAAGCCTGTGGAAAAGCCTGCCACAGGGGTTTGGTTTCCCTCTGCTGCCGCCGAGGCTGCCGAGGAAGGCTTGCCTTTCCCTCCTCAGTCGTTCCCTGGCTCGAATACAAGCCGAGGAGAGGTTTTTCAGTCTGAAAAAAGGCTGAAAACTCGGCTTATATTCAAGTATATACGGTAATTTCTCCAGTGATTTGGGACATAGACATCCTGTGATAATGCAGTTTGTCTCATTAAGAGCCACATCCACTGTTTTAATGTGGTGAGATGTGTTCCATACTGGGCATGCGTACTCAGCAGCAAGAGTAGCCAAGCGCAAGGGGAGATGTCTTCGCTGTGTCTGGTCGAGATCCCCAGGTTGTTCCAGTCAGCTTTCATATGATATTCTTTCTGACACCCACTTTTTGCTTGATAGTCAACCAGTGCTTCTTGTAAGGTCAGAGCACAGTCCAGAGTGACTCCCAGGTATTTGAGTGTGCTGCAGTGCTCCAGTGGGATTCCTTCCCATGTCATTCTCAGAGCTTGAGATGCTTGCCTGTCCTTAAGGTGAAAAGAACACTTCAGCATTTTAGATGGATTAGGAATCAGCTGGCTTTCCCTGTAATAAGCAGTAAGAGCACCAAAAGCTTCAGAGAGCTTCTGTTCAGCTATTTCAAAGCTCCCTGCTTGAGCGGTGATGTCACGATCGGCAGCATAGATGAAACTCTCTGTCCTTTCTGGCAGTTGCTGATCACTGGTGTAAACATTTATGGAGCAAGCACGCTCCCTCGAGGCAGGCTGTTCTGTTTCCGCCAGTGAAAACAGGGAGTGATTTATCCCAGGATTCCTTTATTTGTCTTTTTTTGGCAAACCATCATATCCATAGACTTCTCTCCTCCAGCCTCATGCTTTGAGTGAATTGATTTCCTTCCTGTCAGACTTTCTTCACCATCTGACTTTCCCAACCATACATAGAAATGGTGTGGACAATCCTAGCATTCATATTCATGAATAGACCTTGACGTTTCAGGATCTTATTCTTGTCGCTTTATAGTTGCCCTTCCAAGACCCTATCTTCTGATTTCTTGACTGCATTGTGATTGTATGGGAAATCTTGAGCCCTTTCCATGCCTTCACCATCTACCTTAAGATTTGTAGTCGTTATTTAGAAAGAACCCATGGGGCCATCCAATCCAACCCCCATTCTGCAAGGCAGGAAGAGACCATAGAAATGGATGGAAGGATGATGGCAACAGTTGTGGACAGCAGTGACTCCTAAAGTG